AAATTCCTAAGTGATAAAAGAACTAAGAGCATATTTTGTTCTAGGAAGGTGACACAAGTTGGGCTCCCACAGCCTCCTGGATGGGAGTTTGGTCACCAAAAAGACAAAACCATCATTAGAAACTTGGAGTTTTCAGCCTTGCCTTTCATTCTCCTTAGAGGGGAGAGAGACTGAAAATGGAGTTAATACATGATCATGCCCGTGTGAGAAAATCTCCACAAAAATCCCAAAAGTCCAGGGTCCAAGAATTTCCTGGCTTGTCAACACATCCACACCATGAGGATAATTCTCCCCCACTCCATAAGGACAAAAGTTCCTGTGCTGGGAACTTCCCCAGGCCTCTCCTTTTGTATCTCTTCAGCTAACTCTTTGTCTGTTTCCGTCATCAAATCCCTTAACAAATTCGCAAATGTGATTCCCTGAGTTCTGTGAGGTTCTCTAGCAAATTAGTTAAAACTCAGGAGGGGGTCATGGAATACCATGTGTTGGAAGCACAGGAACAACTTTGCTGTTGGCACCTGAATTAGGGGCAGCCTCTTGGGACTGAACCCTTAACCTGTGGGATCTGATCCTCCGGTAGGTAGTGTTAATAACTTAGTTAATTTATAGGACATGGAGTTAGCATAGCAGACAATTTCTTCATGGGAAACCCATAACAACCTGTGTCAGAAGTATTGTGAGTATGAGTTAAGTCAGAATAAATAAGAAGCATAAGAGGTTAAGGGACTTTGCCAACTTAGCTCCAAACACACACATTTATATTTTGGATATCTAAAAAGAATCTCAAGATGATATGCTGAATAATGAACTTAAGAGTCCTTCCATACCTTGAATCATCTCCAGTATTCCTTCTTTTTTAAATGATGTTGCCACATTTCCATTTGTTTATCTTGTGAAACTACAAGTGACTTGGGCAGCTCTATCATTTCTCTATGACAAACTCTCCCAGTGCCTTTCAGACCATCTTTGTATCAACCTCTTAGTCTAAGCTCTCATCATCTCTCACTGAGAATCTGTCTCCTGTCTCCTAATTTATCTCCCACCATCCCTTCTAGTATCTCTTATTTCACCAATTCTTTCCTCTTACTTGCAAGACACACAATGATCTTTTCAAAATCCACTGTTAATCATTTCACTCTGCTGTTTAAAAACCATCACCTTCACACTACTTTTAGGATTAAGATGAAAATTCTTAAGTCATTATGCAAGTTTTTGCATTGTCTGGCCCCTGAGAGGTGTTCAAGACTAACCATGACTTTCATATTATCTACTTGGTTCCGGCACGCTGGCTTTCCTTCAGGGTCTTCAATTTACTGCTTTTTTCTCTACATTAAGACATTTGATCAGGCTTCCTCTTCTACTTGGAACACTCCCCTTCCCTGACCTGGCCTCTGTTCCTCCCTGCACCTATTCCCAAGGAACTCTAACTCCTCTTTAAGACCTTGGAATGAGGACAATATTCCTTGAGCCTCCCATTCTAAGCTAAATTCTTATGTACACTTTCCAAGAACAACATAACTTCCCTCTTGAGCTCTTACAAATGTCTGAATTATACATTTCTCAATCTTTAATGTTTACTTTCTCAAAGAGACTGTAAGCTCTACAGGGCAGAGCCCTCTCTAATGTTTCTTTTTCTAAGTGATGAATTCCCAAAATTGTCTATAAACATTTTTTATGTAAATTATGGGAAGATATCATAGAAATGACTTTGTATTAACCCTCACAGCAAATATAATAGTGAACTAGTATGAAAAAGAGGTCTTTATTTCTCTCTGAAACAAGGCTGCACATATAGTGGAGTTTTCAGCACAATCCATATCCATAGAACATAGTAACTTCCCTTTATTACTCTCTATGAACAAAACAAATAATTTTCTGCTTTGTAGATTTATCTACTTATTGATTTAAATGAGATATCCCCATAGGGTGATCTGGATCACTCATTGATTCTTAAAACTCAGTCAGGCACCTCATCTAAGGAACAGTCCATAAGCAAAAATCATGCAGGTGCCTGTTAATGATGATGGTCGCTAGACACACCAGAACAGCTGTCATGGCTGCTCAGATAGGGCAAAATGTTGCAGTAAGTTCCATGACACTAAACATATCTTAATCTCTGCTTCACTCTAACATTGAGAAAAAGAATACAGATAAACCTCTCAGGGTTTATTGTCTTTGTCTATTGAAATAGCCCCTCAAATTAAGTCCCTTTATTGCCAGTCCTAACAACCATGAAATTCTTCTTGCCCCCTTCCAGGTTAAATGATGGCACATAAGTTCCACGAGGTCTAGGTGGTATTAGTCTTATTTTATGCTTATTCCTAACCTGTCAACAAACTTGCCTTGATTATTTTCAAGGTCAATTTTTCCTCTAGTCAAATAAGTTTTTTTTAAAAAAATCAAAATCTTTGACTTTCAGAATAATCAAACTGATTTACTTTCAGAGACTTTCTGAAACAAAGTGTCAACTGGATGATTTTCGTTGCAATCCTGCTGTAATAATTTTATTATCCTAGAGATGATGTGAGTGTCTGATTGCACAGGGAAAGAAAAGTGCATACCTGGTTATTTTATTTTATCATCTCACTACACACGTGAATTAAGCACTGACTCTATGCAAGGGGAATGGGTGTACATCTCAAGAATTTATTCTCAATGAGTTTGTCCTCCTTAACTCCCGTGGTCAGCAAGGAATTATTTGCTTGATCACTTGAAAAGTAAAAGCAGCCAGTCAACATTTGCTACATTTGTCACATTTTTAATATTGTCTGTTTCTAATATGTGGGGAAATCCTCATTAAAAAAAGTCAATACAATTTGTTCATAATAGTGGGGAAAAAACAACCTTGGGTTTACTTATTCCTTTTTTTTTAATGTCTCTTCTTTTTTTTTTAAAGATTTATTTATTTATGCATACAAGTTCTGGGGTGTAAGCCAGAGGTGTGTGGAAGTGAGAGGACTCACCAGAGAGAGTGGGGAGTAGAACAGGCAGATGTACTGAAATACACTGCTGAGGGGAGCAGCTGGCGAGGCAGGAGAGGTCTGCTCACCACGTGGGTTGCTCCCTGGAGGGCAGGGATCTAACCAGTGCTGCAGTGGCTGGTGATATCTTGATAGCGCTATCTTTAACCCCTGTGCCACCAGGGAGGCCCTGCTTATTCCTTATAGATAAGTCAGACCTCAGTTATCAAAAACAGAAGCATTGGAATGACAAACTGAAAACAAAATTATAATAAATCTGTGGAAGAGAGTGGCATAATTTGACTGTTCTCAAGTTTCTTACTAATAACCCTCCCACTGCAAATAATTAATATTAAAACAATGATTTTCTAAAAGCGATGGACCCTGTCTAGCTTTGTCCTAAATTTTAGCAGTATTCAATACACATGAAAATTGTTGAGAGTAGATTCTAAGAATTTCCATCACAAGGAAAAAGTCTTTTCCTTTAAATATTTTCTTCTCTATGAGATTTATCTTTTTCATAAAGCGTATTCTCAATCAAAAGTTCTCAGCATGCATTAAAAGCAGATGTTTAAAAATTCACATGGGCTAAAGTATATGAAATAAGTTGAGGAAAAATGTCTCCATATTGGGAACCCCACAGCATTACAGCTCTGATAGGAGCTTTTGCAGTTTTTTGATAGAAGTTTATGTCCAGAGAAGGTGAAAAATGCGCTGAGAACAGATAATTAACAGGAGAAACATCCATATAACATTTTCAAACAGCTGACCAGGAGATCATCAGAATATAGTTATTAATTGAAAGGTCAGAACAAATAGAGGGGGGATAAAAGCAAAGAGGGGAATAAAATCTTTATTTCTCTATATTAACTTGAGTAGTGGGATATACAACACTGGGCTAATAAGAGAAAAATTAATACTAATTGAAAATGCTACAGAGTATGTCTTCATTAGCTCAGGCTGCTATAACAAAATTCTATAGATTTAGTAACTTAAAATTATAGACATTTCATGGAGTTCTGAAGGCTAGTCCAAGATTATGGCATCAACTTTTACTTTATTAGGAGAGTGTTGGTGGTGGGCCTCCCTAGTGGCACAAGGGGTTACGATGCAGCACTATGAAGCTAATCCAGCCACCGCAGCATGAGTTCAATACCAGGCCAGGGAGCAGCCCACATGGCACAGCAGACCTTTCCTGTCTCGTCCACTATATTGCAGTAGATCTGCCTGTTCTGCTCCTCACTCTGTCTCTGGTGAATCCTCTCACCCCCTGCATCTCTGGCCTGCATACCAGTTCTTGTATGCATAAATAAATAAATCTTAAAAAAAAAAAAAAAGAGAGCCTTGGTAGAGGTTCAGTTCTTGGCTTATAGAAGCCCACCATGTCACCATATTCTCACAGGCTGAAGAAAGGAAACTCTGATGCCCCTTCCCATAAGAGTGTTCATTCCAGCAGCTATATGCGTTCATCTAAATATAATTAACTTTCAAAGCCCCCACCTCCTGTTACTATCACATTGGGGGTTAGGGATTCAACGTATCAATTGGTGGGACCCAGCATCCATTACATAACAGACCATGTTGCCAGAAAATGAAGGAAACAGTGTGCAGTCAAGGAGAGATGCCTTAGAACACTCACAGAAAAGAGCATGGGAGAAATGCCAAGACCAGGTAAGCTGTTACGACATAACTGACACTATGTATTTTCATGGACTCAAAGACCTGAGAATATAGTAAAGTCTTTGAATTGGCAAAGAGTTCAAGAATGAGAACAATATTTTTGAACCTAGACATTCAGAGGGCATCAAAGGCTTACTTCAGCCATAATAATTTCCCTGGAGTGATGTAGGAAGGAGCCAAATAGAACAAAATTGATAACTGTGAGAGAAATTTAGCAATACACGGAAGGAAGATAGAAATGGAGAGAACTATTATTTATCAAGCAACATACATAGGCCAAGTTCTGTGTTAAATATTTTGCTTATGTTCTTTCATTTAGGGCTTGTCGCGCAACCAACCCTTCCCGGGTGGGTCCATTACCGGTTCCAGCAGGCCTGTTCGTGTCTTCACGGTCTCCGCTTTTAGTCGTCATCGTACTCTGTAGGGCTCTGCCACCCCACACCACACTGCGCTACGCTACACCACCCACGCATGCACGCCACGCATGCCACGCACGCCACGCACGCCACCCCAAGCCGGTTGGCTGAGTGCGCATGCACAGTGGGAGGGCGGGAAACCCTGATGCTTTTCCCCCTTTCTTACCCCACAGACTATAAATGTTTTGCCAATAATACGAGTTGGAACAAAACAGAAAAGTTTATATATAAACTTGTTACTAAGCAGTGTTTTAATTATTTAAAATTAACTGCCAAATAAATAATTGTCCTAGACTCTTCAAAATTGTTAAGATTAGGAAAGACGAAGATAGACTGAGGAAAAAGTCCATATTGAAGGAGATTTAAGAACCCTGAAAGCTAATGATAACAGACTGTTATATGGAAATTAATATAATACTGGGTTTTTTTTCTATATTTTGTGACACTGGTGGCATTTTTCGACTTCTTAAAATTTGTAGTTTGTTATTTCAAAATAAACAATGTCATGTTTTTAGCTTATAATTCTGCATTCTTTTTCTTCTATGGTACCCCCCCCCCCCCCCGCCAATAGGTAACAGCTTCAAATCCTGTAAAGTCTTCATCTTCTCCTGGAAAAGTAGGAAATTTTGCATTCAAAAAGAAAAGAGGGGAGGTTTTTATGGGGTAAGTGTATGTTGAAGGAAGGGAAAGAAGAAGGGGTGCTGGCTAAAATGATTCCAGATATTCAGCTGGAAACATTTAAACTTTAATCTTAAAGGTCAATACACAATATTTAAATGATCAATTAATGTGTACAGTGAACTTATGCATACAATAAAGACCTAGATTCTTATTATAACCAGGATGTAATTTTACAGAATAACTGGTATTTTCACTGAAGCAGCGTGAATTTTTAGGACTCTACTGAAATGTTTAAACTGTGAAAGAGAAGCACTAATTTAAGAAATGCAGAAGTTAAAAATGAACGACTTTAAAGCTGGATTATCCTAGATATTTGCATTCAATTTTCTAGGCCTCTTCTTCATCCTGCTCATCTGGTAATATTCAAATCTGTGATGACTGTGAGTCTCTGTCTACAAATACAGGCCCTAGGCAAAAGTTTGAGTAATTAATGGTTAAAAAATAAAAGTTCCCACCAGTGGGTACAATGATGAGCTTTTCCCTTTTATGCAAGTGCTCAAGCAGACCTTGCTCTCTTCAAATGTCAACTATTTTTTTTTTTTTTAATCAGCACACATGGCCTTTAACCATTTTGGTTCAAGTATTGCTCAGTGATTTCTGTCTATTTGGATTTTCAAGCTGTATCTTGGTACTATTGTCTTAAAAATTAGGCACTGTTACTCATTGACAGAATAACGTGTCGAATCTATAAAGTAGGTATATATTACATTTTATTCAATTGTACATTTTTATAAAGACTTTTGGGATTACATCTAAGAAAATAAATATTTTGAATTTCAATAACCACTTTAACACTTCAGAATGATATGTGAGCCCCTAAAAGAAGTTTTTATATGTGTTGTATCCTAGCTAACTGTAGCAGTATTCAAAATATTTGAATATAGTTTCTTAGTCAATTACCCCTTATTTGAAACACATCGTGCTAAACCTTAAGCCCATCAACCACTCCTTGCTTGTTGTCTTCTTTAAAGATGTCTTGTTCTTGAATTTTCCCCTTCATAAAGAAAATGCCAGTCGGGTATTAGTTACGCTTATCTGTGACATCAGCCATCAAACTCACCAACAAACTGTGACTATGAAGCAAGAGATGAGTCTTTAGAAAAGAGCATGAAAGTCCTGTCAAAGTTCCATTAACTACTGATTCCTCTGGGAGGGTTGCCTTCTTAGCATTCACTCCCTGACATTGATTAGAAGCATGGGATCTAAGAGCAGCTCACTTTGGTTAGCCCCAAAATTGCACTCTGGGAAGAGATACATGACATCTGACTGAATTCTGTCACAATTTCTTTTAGAGCAGGGCCAGAAAGAGAGATTTTGTATCTTATTTTTGTAGCCAACACACTGTTAATTTCTAATCTGGTACAAAGATCTGATTATTCAGTGAACATATTTTGTTGATAAAAGCTCCAGAAAACAATTAAAATGCAAACTACTTTGTTTTGGAAACTATTGAGGCTGTCTAAAAGACTTGCATCTGGCACCCTAAACATTTCAGCTTTCATCAAACTCTCTGCGTGTCCCAATTTTTGGCCAACCCAGTTCATGATTATTCCCCAATTTTTGGAATTAACCAAAGGACTAATTAGGTCACTTGTAGTTTGGCTTCAGTGTCTCGTCCAGGATCCCAGCTTGAAGTGAAGGCACTTAGGAGAGCAATCACCGTGTCTAACACTGCTGTCTGACTTTGGAGATGACTGACATTTCAAGAGCTGAGCAACCTTAACATTGAATGAAATGCATTGAGGCAGAGCTGACACTAGGAAATGAACACATTTGTTCTACAAATATTTGCCAGTCATTTGATATATGCTGTGCATTGTGCTAGGTGCTGGAGATAGACAGGTTAAAAGGAAAGCGCTCCTGTCCAAATAAAGCATAGCCTATGGATTCAGACTAGTATGTGATTTACAATGATATTTCAGAAAAGAGGGGTTATTAGAATACAAGTAGGAACATAAAATGAGTTTGAAAAGAAAAGGAGGAAGGCTTTGAGGAAGAAATAGTATTAGGGGTAAAGGGTGCTAGCAAAGAAAAACACTTGACAATGGAAAACATGGCTTGACGATGAAAAACATGGCATTTCTTAAAAGATCCTTAACATGGCCCTGAATCCTCTGATTATTTACTGATTCTTACTTTTTAAGCATTTTGTAGATGTACACTTTTCTTCAGTTGTTCAGGCCTTTGTTTAAATCCTCAGAAACATCTTGTTCTGTCCTGTTTGTGTTTGTCCACATGGTTCCACCAAGATTGGGATAGCCACTTAAATGTCACTTGATCAAAGGTAAATTTAAGTGGCCACTTCTTATATTATTCTCCATCATGACAGCCTAAGGATCCTCATGTGAATAGGTATCACAATTTATAATTACACTTTAAAATTTGCATTTTCTTGTTTATTACCCATTTATTAAGAGTTTCTACCTGACTCTTGGCTACTTTACCTTCTTTTCTGCCTCTAACTTAGGTTATTTAGACAAATTCTGGAAACTGATTTAATGACTCCAGATGAAAGTGAGATGATACTTTAGGAAGGTTCATATAAGCAACATTCCAGTTACATAGTTTTCTTAATATTATGTGCATTTCACAATTCAATAGAACAAAATATAATGATAGGCTCCCTAGAAGTTTGTCAATTTATTAATATCTAGATGAAACATAAAGATAAAGTTTTAAGACTCTCAGTCATTTGTAATTTCTCTTTAGGAAGACAATATACATACCGTTTAAGTTATATAACCAGAATTTCATAGCAAGTCAGCAGTGGAACTCAGGTTTAAAAACACAGGGATCATATATAGACTTTGGTTTAGCCTGAAACCAGTCTTAGTTTCTTTCTCTCTTTTTCAATTGAAAAAGTGAAATGTATATGCATATTTCAATTCTATATAATACATATATAAATATGTATATATATAAATATGCATAACTTTTTTCTTTTTAATTAAAACCGTGTCAATATAAAGTGTCACTTAGCTTTCAATATTTAATTCTTTACTCAATTTGTAAAGGTTGCTTACAGTTAAGGGATTTAAAAAAGGTACAAGAGAGACAAACTTTGAGTATTTGGCTTCATTTTCCTTTTTACCATCACACATATCATGGGAGAAAACTACATCAAGCCATTGAAGTAAACTAATTGCAATGAATGTTTTATGATAAAGTCGTAGAATATTTATTTATTTATTTGTTTGTTTGTTTTTACAAGCACTGGGTACAGTCAGAAGCGTGGGAGGGTGAGAGAATTCACCAGAGCCAGAGTGGGGAGCAGAGCAGGCAGAAGGACGGAAGCACACTGCTGAGGGGAGCAGCGGGCGGCAGGAGAGGTCTGCGCGCCATAGGTCTCCCCTCCTCCGGTGGCCGGGGAGCAGCCAGGGATTGAACCGGCCCTGCTGAGGCTGTGGGCAGCTTCACAACCCAGCGTTCAACCGCTGCGCCACCGGGGAGGCCCAGTCATAGAATATTTAGAGAAATATTTACATATTTCACCTAAGAGCAAAGGAATTATATCTATGACTATTATTCTCTTAGTCATTGTGTATTTTTCCATCCTGTTTCCTCAGGACTGAACGCTGATTCTTGGCAATTCTGTTAATCTCTCTTTGCTTAGTATCGCACAGATTCATTAGATAGCGGAAAAATAAATGCATCTCTCAAAGCCATTCTTACACAGAGAATTGCTTTTTGTACTCCAGGTCTTAATTTATTTGTGTAAGTATCTTGTATGAACTGGTGCCTGATTAAGGAGAACAGGACTATGTATTGGTAAATTTTATTGTCTCATAATAATCTGTAAAACCTAAACTTAATTAAAAAGTAACAGATAATCAAAGAAAGAAACTTTGAAATAAATACTAAGGAAAAGTGACAAAACAAGCAACTAACAACAAAAAGTACAGAATTTCACAATCCCAAACGAAATTAATATACAATTGAAAACACTTTTAACATGATCTTAATTGCTTTTGATTTTTAAAAATACCTGGGCTTCCCTGGTGGCGCAAGGGCTTAAGACCGCATCCTATGACACTATCCTCAACCACTGCAGCATGAGTTTGATCCCTGGCCAGGGAGCTACCCACCTGGCACAGCAGACCTCTCCTGACTTGCCCACTACTCCCCTCAGCAATATATTTCAGTCAATCTGCCTGTTCTATTTCCCACTCTGTCTCTGGTGAATCCTTTCACTCCCCACACCTCTGGCCTATACCCCAGTTCTTGTATTCATAAATAAATACATCTTTAAATAAAAATAAAAATATCAATAGAGACTTACTAATTTATTTATTTTTGCCTATTGGACCCATAGAATTAGAATCTGCTTTCCTTAAGGTAAAAAGAAAGTAGGCATGAAAAT